CCTTATATTTATCATGTAATTGATGGTAACTTAATTGTTAACACGTAGACAGTCACCTTCTATCTTTCATTTTAAGTTTTTGTTCCTATACTCTTTTCCTGTCCAATTTCAAGGTTTTATACCGTCCTCCATTTTATCTCTTGCCTCTGAATTCCGAAGACCACATATCTTTTATAAATGTGGAGGCTTCTCTCATTTTCATTAATATTTTAAGGGCTAAGTCGGTATATGCTGATACCATTTCCTTTCAAATAAGTGTTTTTAATCTACCTTTTTTACTTATATTCATTCTAATTCTTCAGTCACAATGAAATATTCCTGTGTAGTTCTGATGACAAAATTTTAGATAATTTTCTCTTGGAGTCTTGATAGTGACTTTATATATAGATTTATATTTATATAGATTTTTTCTTTTATTTTAATCAAAAAAATGCCTTCTGGCTCTCAACCACTTACTTGAAATCAAAACCTTGATTTTCCTGGGAACCAGCAGTTAGTGTAATGGCTATGTCGCTGGACTCCCACGTAGTCGACCGCGGTTCGTGTCCCGGACCCGGTGGCTTAAAACTCACGCCGGGTGCGTGTGCGTGCGTGCCCAAGATCCCGAGAGGAGAATGGAGGAGAAGGGATTGCGGTGTGACCATCCCCCCTGGGGGGTGACTTTTCGCTTTCTGTCTCTCTGTCTGTCTGGCGAACGCACGCGCCCTATAGCGAAAATCTCTCCAAAAAAAACCCAAAAAACCTTGATTTTCCTGTTGTTAAAGCCATATTGCTACCTCCAAAAAAAATTGTCTAAGCTTATAGCATTCTACATTTTTCAGTGAAAATGAAGTTTATCAGAATTTAGTTTCCCATTGTTTAAATTCCTACTGGCTCAAAGCCAGAGAACCACTTGACTCCAGGCCTAGCACAGTGACTTTTAGAAATTCATAATTTAAACCTACTTGCCTAACACTATCGAATTTCTACACATGGCTTGATTAAATGCCATTTGAGGCCAATGCCTTTTTCTTTTCCTTCAGTTTGCCAGAGAGTACATGTGCTGACTAGAGAGGGACAGAGAGAGAGAGACAAAAAGAGAGAGAAGGAAAGCGAGAAAGTACTTCCCATGGTGGATGGCCACACTGCAATCCTTCTCTTCCATTTCTACCTCTTTTCAGGATTTTGGGCATGCATGCACATGTGACTAACGTATTTCTCAAGCTGCCAAGTCCAGGACTCTAACTGAGCAGTTGGCCCTGTGGTATCCAGCTGCTTTAACCATCATGCTACCGGCTGACCTGGAAAATGTCCTTATACAGTATCTGAGGAAGGGACATCTGTTTCTTCAATTAGCTCTAGAACTTTGCTATCCAACTTGGTAACCACTAGCCACGTTTGTCTATTAAGCATTAGAAGTGTGGCTGGTCACATTTGGAGGTGCTGGAAGTGTGAAGTACTTAACATATTTTAAATACTTAGTATTTAAAAACTCAGTATTAATATTGAATCATATTTAAATAATATTTTTAATATTGGGTCGTCAGAAAAGTCGGGACACATTTCTGCATAGAAAAACAGAGAAAAATACATCATGACTTTTCCAACGACCCAATATATTTGGTTAAATAAAATACATAATTAATTCTATTTCTGATTACTTTTTAAATTTAAGAAAGTAAACATTTAAGTTACACATGTGACTCATGTGACATTTCTGTTGGATGGCACTGGTCTAGAAACTCATACATTTACTAGGATTCGGAAGCTATTATCTCTAAACGGATTGCTTCCAAAGGAAATTTTAAGAGTAAAGATCCTAAGTCTCTGTAAACAAAGAATTGACTTAGTTCGACATGGTTCTACTAAGTAATTAAATATGTAAACATATCAAAGTTAGGAATTACATTAAGAACATCTTGGGGAGGTGTACAGTTAGTTAGAGTTCCTTGTAAGGTATTTGTTGAATTATTTCCATCCTATTTTGAAAGCCTCATTTTATTTGCTCAGCTATGTCAAATCTGTTCCTCAAATAATTTTTCAGAGCTAAGAAGCCACTGTATAAATAAAACAATCGGTGTCCTCTTTAGCTTTGCAAGAACATTTGGTTTCTTCTCATAGAAGCTAAGAATGATGGAATGTATCAACATATTCACACTCTGGTTTGTTCACCTGAGAGCAGACAGCAAGAAGGGTGACCATGCCTCATGCAGTTCATTGTATTGGGGACAGGTTTCTATATTTAATATCACCTTATATTTTATTTGGAGTATTTTTGTGGAAAAAGTTAAAAATTTATAAGAATGAATTAAAAAAATCAGAGTAGAAAAAAATTGGTTTTGGAATTCCTAATAGTTTGTGCTGATACTCTTTTGCCTTTAGGAATATAATTTACATTTAATCATCATACATCTGTTTTTTTTAGAGAGAGAGATTTTTTCTATAGGGCACGTGTACTCTCCAGAGAGACAGAGAGAGACAGAAAGCAAGAAATCACCCCCCAGGGGGAAGGGCCATGCCACAATCCCTTCTCCATTCTCCTCTTGGGATCTTGGGCATGCATGCACACATGCCCAATGTGAGTTTAAAGCCACCGGGTCCAGGACTTGAACTGCAGTTGGCCATATGGAAGTCTAGTGGCATAACTGCTTCGCCATCTGCTGGGCACTAATCATCATACTTCTTTACAGTGTACAACATAATGGTTTTTTTCCCCCTGCATAAATACAGTGCATATCAGTCAAGACAAAGACATTATCCTATACCTTATCATCAGCAAATAACTTTTTATTCTTGTGTCAGTTAAATGTATTTTTTCCCTGATCACCTCCCTGCCTCTATTACCCACCCCCTATTAGCCCTCACCCCCCACTATCTCTACTACCATATGACCCTGTAATTCCACTCTTAGATATTTTTCCCAAAGGATAAGAAAACTCTCAATTGGAAAAATACTCACACATCCATGTTTATTGTGGCATTATTTACAATTGCTAGGACATGGAATCAACCCAAATGTCCAAAAATAGATGAGTGGATTGAAAAAAATATGGCATATGTATTCTATGGAACACTATTCTTCTACAAAAAAAATAACGAGATCCTGACATTTGATACAAACTAGATGAATATGGAAGGAGACTTAATACTAAGTGAAGGAAGCCAGGTATGAAAGACAGATTTTGTGTGTCCCAGCTATAGAGCTATATATATTGAATGTCTGTGCTCTACAGCAGAAACTGAAAGACTGGAAGGTATAATAACTTTTAGGATCTTTTCATAATAGCTTTGTTGAGTTATCATTCCTATACCACATAATTTTCCTTTGAAATGATATAATTCAATGGTTTTAAGTATATTCATAGATTTTTACAACTATTACAGCAATCTAATTTCAGAACATTTTCATCACCCCACAGAGAAAGTTATAACTGTTCCCCTAACCTCCCCCTGCCCAGCCCTAGGCAACCTCTATTCCACTTCATGTCTCTATGGATTTGCCTCTTCTGGACATTTCATGTAAATAGGGTCATGTGGTCTTTGTGCCTGGCTTCTTTCACTTTGCATATTGTCTTCACGGGTTATCCATATTGTAGCATGTATCCATATGTTGTTCCTTTTCATGGTCAAGTAATATTTTATTGTGTGGGCATACCAAATTTTATTGTTCATCAGTTGATGGGTTGTGGCTGATAATTTCTCAGCACTTAAAAATTAAGGAAATTTATGTTTACATTAAGAAGCTTCACATATATTCTCATAATGAGCGTCACAGTAATTAGTTTAGGTAAATGCTGCTGTGGTCACCATCACTTTATAGATAAAGAAACGAGAGGCTCAGAAAGCCTAAATAATTTGGCTAAGATCACATAACAAGCATACGTACCTGAAGTAGGACTCAAACCTGGTTTATATGACTGCAGGTTGCTTGTTCTTTCCTTATTGCCACAGCCCACCACTAATCCTAATCCCTTGGTGATTTTGTTTTAGAAAAGAATTCCGTAGTGGTCAGCCCATGGCCTGGTTAAGGCAGCTGGATCCCACATGCTCATTGCACAGTCCTAGTCCCATACTTGCCCAAAATCTCAAAAGGAGGGAGAAATGGAGAAGTGGGGATTGCAGCTTGACCATTCCTCATGGGGGGTGCTTTCTCCCTCCCTCTCTTTGTCTCTGTCTCTCTCTGGTGAGCACGTGCACCCTCTAGCCAAAAAAATACTTAACTATTAACTTTGTTAACTTTTTTTTGAGGTTTTACTTGCACGTGCATGCATGCCCAAGATCCCAAGAGGAGAATAGAGGAGAAGGGATTGCGGCATGGCCATCCCCCCGGGGGGTGATTTCTCACTTTCTGTCTCTCTGTCTTTGTGGAGAGTGCACACACCCTATAGCAAAAACCTCTCAAAAAAAAAAAAAGATGGAGAAGTATTCTAGGCTATAATATACCTCAGTACCTTAGCAATAGATAGAATTGTACCAGAAGCAAATTGCTCAACAGTTCGATGTCCCCCTGTAGGGACAGGTCCATGGGTGTGCTAAAGAGCCCATTTATTTTTCTTATCCCATGAAAAACTCCTGTTACTGACCTAGGCAAAGCCATAGTGTATTAGAAAACCGTATTTCAGACCAGCTAAATGGCATGGTGGTTAAGGCATCTGGGTCCGACATGGCCAATTATGTGATTTGAGTCCAGACTCGGTGGCTTGAAAAGCATGCCGGGTGCATGTTTGCGTTCCAAATCCCAAGAGAAGAATGAAGGAGGTAGGATTGTGGCGTGATGATCCTCCCTGGAGGGTGCTTTCTCACTTTCTCTCTCCCTGTCTGTCTCTTTCTGGTGAGCACATGGGCCCTGTAACAACTTTTTAAAAAGAAAAAGTAAAAATTCATATTTGTAGGGAGTTCCGAAGTTGAAATTATTTGAATTTCATTCGTCTAGTAGTGCCATACTGAAAGAAAATTCTCCATAAAAATCTTTAATAGGAATAATATATAGCATTCTTTCTTGGATTCCTTCTTTTCCTTAGGGTTCTGTAGCTATAGCTGGTGCTGTCATTCGTTGGCTAAGAGACAATCTTGGAATCATAAAGACCTCAGAGGAAATTGGTGAGTACATTCTAACAAAGGGTTAGAAAATCTGAAGAATGAAAAATGTTCATGTTTTAGCCCTTCAATCTCAATACTTACGCTTTGCCTTGAATGTGATCCATAAATCTTGAATCCCTATTATGAGTTTGACTTATACAAAAAGAAGGCTATTTGGTGAAGATTTATAAAACAACAAAGTGACATAATTAGTGGTGGTTATTAATAAACTGGCCAAGTAGGACATAAAAATTACCCAAGTGTATGATTGAACACCAGAGATAGCCAGAATCTGCAGGTAAAGTAGCCTTGTTCAATTTATCTGATAAGAAAGAGCTTTAACTCCTAGATTAGAGCGAGCATTAAAACTCTGGTACCTATAATGTAAGTATTAATTTTATGGCTATTTTCAGTCTATGGATAATTAGTTTGAACTCACTCACTCTCTTTCGTTTACTTGTTTAACTTTGCCTGAAGGTGAGATAGCCAGAAATACGTTTTCCATTAGGGGCACGCTGGAGGCTACTTCTTCATCTCCTAGTCAGCAACCTTAGAAACAGTGGCAATGAGCTAATATACCTTAAGGAAACAAAGCCAGCTCATTGATTTTTTTTTTTTGAGCTGGGTTACTCTTTAGTGGGGTGTTTAATGTAGGGTAATTTGTTAGCATACTCTGTAATTGGGACCATTTGGCTATACCAATGAACTAGAAACCAAACCCTGGTCCTAATTTAAAAAACTAGATATGTTTATAAGTAAAATAAGAAAATAGTGTGACTTTTGTGTTTCCTTTTTTTTTTTTTTTTTTTAAATGTTAGAAAAACTTGCTAAAGAAGTCGGTACTTCTTATGGCTGCTACTTCGTCCCAGCATTTTCAGGGTTATATGCACCTTATTGGGAGCCCAGTGCAAGAGGGTAAGTATTGAAAATATGGTATGCTTTTGGGGGTCTTGATTTATTTATTAACTTAGTTAATAGCCCATTAGTTAACCTGTCTCTATCAGCTTTCAAATGATTTTAAGTATTGAGAAAACCTTTTATATTTGGAGCATCTGATTTCAAACACTTGAGTTTCCATAAAGTTACAGAGCAGCCGATAATAACCTCTGCCACATTCATGTTAGCATCATTATCTTTTGTCATTAAAGTGTCTGCAAGTTGTATAACAAAGGGACATCACCTAAGAGAATACTGTTTACTGATTAGGTTTTTTTAAAAAATATTTATTTAACTTTCTTTTTTATTATTTTTGAATATTCCGAGAGAGACACAGAGAGAGCAAGAGAGAGAGAAGGAAAGTAATAAAGCAAGCCTCCAGGTCTGGGACTCAAACCACAATCAGCTATGTGGGAGTCCAGCACCCTTACCTACCACGCCACCTGCTGGCCCCACTGATTAGGTTTTATGTTATTTATGGTCTCTATTCAGATTATGAATTTGAAAGACTTTCTGAATTACTTAATGGTGAGGTCCAATTTTCTTTCCCTGTGTATTTCTGTCTACCCAAATTGTCCTTTTCATATCTGGGATATTTTAGATTGATGACTAGTTTATACTGCTCTAATCTGAACATCTTTGTATGTATTTTAGGATAATCTGTGGACTCACTCAGTTCACCAATAAATGCCATATTGCTTTTGCTGCATTAGAAGCTGTTTGTTTCCAAACCAGAGAGGTAATAAATTTGGGCCTGTTTTCTTGTACTTAATCCACCTTTATCATTCTTAGACAAAGCATATATTAATGCCTGAAATTGGTTAAAAACTGAAAATACAGTCAATCAAAGGCTGAGCCTACTTAATACAAATACAAATATAAATGTTCCTTTCTTGCTATCATTGCCCTTCAAGTTTTTACTATTTACCAGGCACTGGGCATTTTCTGACGGGGGCAAATATGAGTGGTACATATTAGGCCAAAGGAAGTAGCACAGAGACATCAAGGCGGGAAACCGGGGTGTAAAGTAGTTGTCTGGCCCGGCCAAACGTCAGGGTAAGCACAGAAGTGTAGTGAGAGGAAAGGCTGACTGTCATCCAATCATGGAGGACTTGGAAGCCCAGAAGGAGTCTCAAATTTATTCTGTAGGCTTGGGGTGCTCTCAAGAGTTTTTGAATGAGAAATTGCCATTCCCAGAGCTGTTACCATGAAGTAGTTTCTTTATGTTAATCGCATTGCTTTATTTAAGATTTTAGATGCCATGAATCGCGACTGTGGAATTCCACTCAGTCATTTGCAGGTAGATGGGGGAATGACGAGCAACAAAATTCTTATGCAGCTACAAGCAGACATCCTGTATATCCCAGTCGGTTAGTAAGTTTTCCCTCCTTTAAGCCCCGAGAGGAACGTTTCTTTTGGAGAAACCACAGGATGTTGATGTACCTCTCTCCCTGCAGTGAAGCCCTCGATGCCTGAAACGACTGCACTGGGTGCTGCCATGGCGGCGGGGGCGGCAGAAGGAGTAGGCGTTTGGAGTCTCGAACCTGAGGATTTGTCAGCTGTCACCATGGAGCGGTTCGAACCCCAGATCAATGCCGAGGGTATATTTAAAGAATAAAATGTCTAATGGTGTACTGTGAAAACAACCTCAGTGTGAGAGAATTTGCCTTTCAGGTTATTGATAAGTTAGGGCACAAAGTAAAATTGCAAACATTACTGTTGCAGGTTTGGCTGCTAAGCATGTTGTGCACTTCTGCATAAGTGTGAATGAAAGAATTAGTTATTTTTTTTTAATAAAGAATTGTTTTTTGGGGGGAACCAGCAGTTGACGTAATGGCTATGTTGCTGGACTCCCATATAATTGACCACAGTTCGAGTCCTGGACCCAGTGGCTTAAACTCACATTGGACACATGTGCGTGCGTGCCCAAGATCCCGAGAGGAGAATGGAGGAGAAGGGATTGCAGCGTGGCCATCCCCCCTGGGGGAATGATTTCTTGGTTTCTCTCTCTCTGTCTCTCTCTGTCTTTCTGGCAAGCGCATGCACCGTATAGCAAAAACCTCTCTCAAAAAAAAGAATTTTTTTAAATTTAACTTTATTATTTATTTTATTTTTAATTTTGACCAGAGAGGGACAGAAAGAAAGAGAGAAAGGGAGGGAAAGTGAGAAAGCAAGCCATCAGGTCCAGGACTCGAACCATGGTCAGCCATGTGGGAGTCCAGCACCCTTGATCACCATGCCACCTATCAGACCCAAAAATTAGTTTATTGCAAAAAAAAAATCTTTTAAAACCACTTATTTAAAACACTCACTTCTATTGTTTACAGTTGTTTCATGTAGGAGAATAACACTGCCACAATGTCAGTTATAACTTGTTAAAATAAATATTTTTAAAAGCTAGAAGGGAGAGAGTTCAGCCACCCACCCCTCATACTGCACTGGATCATCATTGGTGCCAATGGCCCTGCTTTCGAGGACATGATTGGTTTAGCTAAGAGGCACTCTGGTAACTTTTAAATACAACAGAACTGACCTGACAAAGCCAGCAACGAAAAGAAAGAAAGAAAGAAAGAGAGAAAGAGAGAAAGAAAGAAAGGAAGGAAGGAAGGAAGGAAGGAAGGAAGGAAGGAAGGAAAGAAAGAAAGAAAGAAAGAAAGAAAGAAAGAAAGACTAGCAGATGGTGTAATGGTTACATCACTGGACTCCCACGTTTTGAGTCTTAGACCTGGAGACTTGAAACTCACACTGGGCATGTGTGTGTGCGTGCGTGCCTAAAATCCCCAGAGGAGACTGGAAGAGAAGGGATTGCAGCATGGCCATCCTTCCTGGAGGGCGATTTTGTGCTTTCTGTCTCTCTGTCTCTGTTTCTCCAGTAAGCCCATGCATCCTACAGCAAAAATCTCTCTTAAAAAAAAAGAAAGAAAGAAAGAAAAAGAGAAGGGAAAAGAAAAGAACAGAACAGGGGAAAAAAAGGGAAAGCAGGGTTTCTATTTTGTATAGAATTTGGTTTCATAACTTTTCAGAAAATGGAGGAGATAAAATAACATAAAATAAAATAACATCAAAGTGGATTTTGACCTATTGAGAAATAAGATTTCAAATGCACTTTTGTTTAATTTTCTAGAAAACTATACCAGTGATTTCTTAATTTTATTCATCATTTTCCAATGAATAATTACATTAATTGTAATACAACTAATTTTATAGTCAGACAGTATACCCTGTACCTTGATATAGATATGTATTTCAAAATCTGATACTCTGTATGAAGTTTTTTTTTTTTAATTTTTGCAGTACTGGATAGAATACAAGGGAACTTCAAAAAGTTTATGGAAAAGTGGAATTAAAGTCCAAATTTATTTTGATGTTAAAGATGTTGAAATCCAGGGAACCAGCAGTTAGCATAATGGCTATGTCGCTGGATTCCCACGTAGTCGACCGCGGTTCGTGTCCCGGACCCGGTGGCTTAAAACTCACGCTGGGCACGTGTGCGTGCGTGCCCAAGATCCTGAGAGGAGAATGGAGGAGAAGGGATTGCGGCGTGACCATCCCCCCTGGGGGGTGATTTCTCGCTTTCTGTCTCTATGTCTCTCTCTGTCTGTCTGGCGAGCGCACGCGCCCTACAGTGAAAATCTCTCCAAAAAAAAAAAAAAAGAAAAAAAAGATGTTGAAATCCATACGTAGTATTTTCATGTGGATATTCTGTGAATTCTTGAAGATCTCTGGTATGAGGCTCAAAAAACCCAGCAGTACAAAAAATGTCTACTTCCAAAATAATCAAAATATGCCTTGTAGCAGCCTAGTCTTTAAGGGAACTGGATCCCACATGGCTGACTGTGGCTCCAGTCCCAGCCCTGGCAGCTTGAAAAACATGCTAGGCACATGTACATGCATACCCCAAATCCTAAGAGAACTGGAAGAGGGATTCTGGTATGGCCATCCCCACTTGGGGTGCTTTCTCATTTTCCCTCTTTCTGTCTCTTACCCCTTCTTCAGCAAGCACATGTGCCCTACAGAAAAGTGAAGAAGATTTTGTAAGATTTTTCAACCAGCAGGAGCAAAGAAGGATTAAAACATGAGGAACTTTTCAGAGAGAAGAGACTGGCTCCAGGAGGTGGAAGTAATTAGCAGCTGCCCATCCAGATCTTTTCTGCTTATTTTTATGCATTGAGCAAATCCAGGACTCAAAAGCGAAAAATATTTCCTTTTCACATTTCTCTCCCTCCTCCATTTAAAAAATCTACCAGATGGCATATGTGGTCATTGGAGAGAGATAGAGAAAGAAAGGGAAAGTGTGAAACTCTCCCATGGGGGATTGTCACCCTGCAATCCCTTCTCCATCTCTCCCTCTTTCAGGATTTTGGGCACACATGCACATGAGCCCTGTGTGTTTTCAAGCTGCCAAGTCTGGGACTTGAACTACTAGGTTGGACCTGTAGTATCCAGCCACCTTAACCACCCAGTCACAGGCTGATCCAACACTTATTCCTTTTGAAGCCCAAAAGATGCATGCTTCCCATGACCAGCAGATAGCGTAATGGTTATGTCACTGGGCTCCCACATAGTCGACTGCAGTTTGAGTCTCTGACCGTAACTTAAAACTCATGCCAGATGCATGTACATGCATGCTCCAAATCCCAAGAAGAGAACGGAGGAGAAGGGATTGCAGCATGGCCATTCCCCATGGGGGGGGAGTGATTTCTCACCTTCTGTCTCTCTGTCTCTGTTTCTCTGGCTAATTCACACACCCTATAGCAAAAATATCTTTAAAAAAAAAATGCATGCTTTCCAAAGCATATAACTTAAAGTGATGCAGTCAGAAAGACATGTCGATACATTAGCCATCTTATGGGTCAAATAGCTAAATATGAGGTCAGAGCTGGGGGTCTTCAGAAAGTTCATAGGAAATATATATTGTGGGAAAAAAATTTCATGGATTCAAAAAACGCATTGCACTAAAATAAACTTGAACTTGTACTTTAATTCCATTTTTAAATGAACCGTTGGGAATCCCTTTCTATATGGCCTCCAAATGCTAACACCAGTCTTAAAGTAAAGGGAGGTTTTGTGTAAATGGTTAAGGATTACTGTTTTCCAAAAGGAGCCACCGTCACTGCTGTTTTGGGCCTTAGGCTAGGATTGATCAGTTATACCATTTGCCTTCCCTTTCACCAGCCTCTTCTTTTTTCTACACCCTGCACACACCCACTAATGGGGACCTCAATATAGTTAGTTCATTCTTCCAGTAGACAGCTGCTCAGATCCAACTACAGGCCAAAGGCTTACTGTCGTGGGGATATAGACATGAGTAAAACCAAGAAAATCCTTACCTTTCAGGAAACTCAAGTATATTGGGAGAGGCAGACAAAAACCATAAAAATTCACTGTGGTAGCTGACATCTTGTGCTGTGTGTAAAGGGCTGTGGGAAAATGGAGGAGGGGATGGGAGAGGGGCATTGTGAGCTCCCTGAAGCCAGTGAGCCTTCAGCCTCGTCTCCCAGGTGCCGCAGGCTTCAGGTGCTATGAAAAGGCTAGGAGGCTGGTACCAGCAGTCATTGTAATGGCTATGTCACTGGACTCCCACGTAGTCGACTGCGGTTCAAGTCCCAGACCCAGTGGCTTAAAACTCACGCAGGGCACGTGTGCGTACATGCCCATGATCCTGAGAGGAGAATGGAGGAGAAGGGATTGTGGTGTGGCCATCCCCCCGGGGGGTGATTTCTCGCTTTCTGTCTCTCTGTCTGTCTGGTGAGCGCACGCGCCCCGTAGCAAAAACCTTTCTAAAGAAAAAGGAAAAAAAAAAAAGGCTAGGAGGCTTCAGAAAAGGGTAACTCCCTCATGCTTTGGTATCCTTAATAGGAATACGTGTGTTTTTTGTTTGTTTGTTTGTTTTAACTGCCAGAGGGCACCTGTGCTCACCAGAAGGGAGACTGAGAGAGAATTGAGGTAGAAAGCACTCGCAGTGGGGTGTAGGCATGCCACAATCCCTTCTCCATTTCTCCATCATTTCAGGATTGTGGGCGTACACACACATGCACCCAGTGTGATTTTCAAGTTGGCCATTTGGGATCCAGCTCCCTTAGCCACTACGCTACAGGCCGGTCCATTGCTCATTTGACCAGAGAGGGACAGAGTGAGTGAGAGAGAGAGAGAAAGCAGCTAGATCCAGGACTCGAACCATGATCAGCCATGTCAGAGGCTAGCACCCTTAAACACCACACCACCTGCCAACCCCAGTATTTGTTAAATCTTTTGACTGGGATAAAAACAATTCTTTTATAGTCTTTGCACATTATACTGTACCCCTCTCCTTATGCTAAGTCCCCTTGCTCACTCCCACTACCCCCAAAAGGAAAAAGACACATCAAATGGGATTCCCCTTCTACATCATCGCCTTTTGTTTTTAACAGCCCAGTCTTCTTAGCAGGTAGTCCAAAGCTTGTTTTCCCTGCCCCCTACAGGCTACACTAAATTTCTCCTATCTGGTTTCACTAGAGCTTCTTTTTTTGTGGGGGAGAGGTTTTTGCTATCGGGTGCGTATGCTTGTCAGAAAGACAGAGAGAGAGACAGAGAGACATAAAGCGAGAAATCACCTCCCCAGGGAAGATGGCCACACCGCAATCTCTTCTCCTCCTCTATGCTCCTCTTGGGATCTTGGGCACGCACGCACATGGCGTGAGTTTAAGTCACTGGGTCTGGGACTCGAACCGTGGTCGACTACATGGGAGTTCAGCGACATAGCCATTACACTTAACTGCTGGTCCACTACAGCTTCTAAGCACACATTGCCTACAGTTACCAGCAACCCTGTGCTCACAAATCTGAGCCCAGGACTCCCTTCACTTTAATTGTGCAACAATTTGTCTAGAAGACTGAGTGATCCTAAGTATCGTACTTAAACATCTCAGCAAGCTACCTTACACCTATGTGTGTGTGTTTTTTTGTAATTACAGAAAGTGAAATTCGTTATTCTACATGGAAGAAAGCTGTGATGAAGTCAATGGGTTGGGTTACAACTCAGTCTCCAGAAAGTGGTAAAAATGGTTTTTTATTGTTTGTTATTGCCACTTTTCCTTAGTCTGTTAGTTTATTTCAGTATCCAACCATTTATATTTTGCTGACTGCTCTGAAAAAAAGCTTCTCACATGTCCAAAGGTTCTAACATTTTGTAAACACTATATAAACACAAAATGTGATTTGATAAGTTGGTATCATACTTTAACTCTATCCTGCTATATCTTTCCTTATTAGTTTATTCTTGGTACTTCAATTGATAATTTTCCAGGAATAAAATGATTTCTAGTTTCTTATTAATGAAAAAATAAATCAACTAGAGTGTTTAATTTCCCTCTCTTAATGTCTTACTTTACCTTTTTGGGGGGCTGTCTTTATGCCCCAAGCTAACTGAAAGCTATTCGATTTTCAGAATATATTCTGCTACATCTTAGCCAGATATCAAGTACTTAGGGTATTTATGGAATGGGAATTTCTTTGAAATCAGAGAGAAGGAAATGTACCAGACACAGTAAGTTAGAAGTGTCATTATACATGTTAGAAAATGCTCTTGGCAGAAAATAGATGACTATTTTATTTTTCAATAACTTAGGTAGGAAGGAATTTGACTTAAGTAAATCATTTAGATTTAAGCTGCCTTTAATATGGCATAATGTTGTAATTCTTTGCTAAAGTCAAGATTTGAAGCATAGTGAATAGAACACTGGCCAGTCACGTATTGAAACATATATTTTAATGCAGAAGAGTTTGTAAATGAAACGAACCCGCCTTCCAAAATGAGTACAGAACATTTTCATGTATCTGGCTTTTAGGAGGAGCTTCCAGAACCATCCTCCACCACAGATCACTGTGATCTGTATTTTTAGTCCTGGATGCATCTGCTTGAAGCTTTTGGGTTTTCCCTAGATAAGTTTGATTTTCCTTTTTTTTTTTCCCCCTTCAATGATTTTGTTCTGGGACTCACCTTCATTTTCTTTTATTTTGTTGTTGTTCTCTTTTTTTTGGGGGGGAGAGGTTTTTGCTATAAGGTGTATACCCTTGCCAGACAGACAGAGACAGAAAGACAGAAAGCGAGAAATCACCCCCCCAGCGGGGATGGCCACGCCGCAATCCCTTCTCCTCCATTCTCCTCTCGGGATCTTGGGCACGCACGCACACACACCCGGCATGAGTTTAACCCACCGGGTCTGGTACTTGGACCACGGTCGACTACATGGGAGTCCAGTGACATAGCCATTACATCAACTGCTGATCCCTGAAAAACCTTTTAACATACAATATGGAGGGTCTCTATGCTGCACAATAAGCTTAGAATAATACTCAAATAATTAAATACTAATCATATTCATTTGAGCAGTATATGATATAACTATATGGTATGATAAGCTATATAAAAATAGCAATACAGATAGAATCTTTTTTTTGAGAGAGAGAGAGGAATTTTTGCTGTAGGGCACGTACACTTGTCAGAGAGACAGACAGAAAGCAAGAAACTTGGCTTTATGTCAATGACTGTCATGCTTTTATTTATTTATTTTCTTTTTAAGAGGTTTTTGCTATAGAGCGTGTGCACTTGCCAGAAAGAGACAGAGAGACAGAAAGTGAGAAATCACCCCCCCAGGGGGGATGGCCACGCCGCAATCCTTTCTCCTCCATTCTCTTCTTGGGATCTTTGGGCACGCACGCACACGGGTTCAATGTGAGTTTAAGCCACTGGGTCCGGGACTTGGCTCCAGGGGGCATGGCCACACTGCAATACCTTCTCTTCCATTCTCCTCTTGAGATTTTGGGCACACACGCACATGTGCCCAGCGGGAGATTTAAGCCACCAGGTCTGAGACTTGAACCACCATTGACTATGTCAGAGTCCAGTGACATAGCCATTATGTCATCTGCTGGTCTCAGAATCCTATTTTAATAAACTCGAAAGGACATTAAAATCAGTACTTGGTATCTTATACTCTTTAAATTGCTTTAATTTGGGGGAAGAATATTGTTTAATTAATTTCCAAAGCAGTTTGCAAAGTTTGAAGCAGTCTTATATTTATTTTCTTATCTGTGACTTTATTTGTGTTCATTGTGAAAAAAAAAAAAGGCATACATTTGATATGTTTAAAAAGTTGTAGTAGGATTGGAGGTTTGATGCTTTTTGGAGTGAGCTTATCATAAATGATGACTTCTTGACTTTGGACTCAAATCCTATCAAAATAGCATTTTGAAAATAGGTCAAATTTGTTTAACTATATTACATAACTATTAAGTAACTAGTATATAATATTTATTATATACACATATAGGATAGTTGCATATATATTTTCAGATATATTACGGGACTTCAAAACACTTCATGGAAAATGTATATTAGGAGAAAGTCATGTGTGGATTTCAAAAATTTTTTACAGGGCTGGCCCCATGGCCAGTTGGTTAAGGGAGCTGGATCCTGTGTGGCTGATTTTGCAGTTCGAGTCTCAGATCCGGCAGCTTTAATAACACATCGGGCACATGTGTGCACTTACAAATCCCAACAGAATTCAGAAATAAAGGAGATAGGATTGCAGCCTGACCATGCCCCACTGAGGGTTTTTTTTTCTCTCTCTCTCTATCTCTGTCTTTCCCTGGCAAGTACACATGCCCTCTGGCAAATTAAAAAAAATTTGCACCAAAATAAACTCATACTTTAATTCTACTTTTCATGAACTCTATTTTCTTTTTTAGAGGGTTTTGAGTTTTTTTTGTTTGTTTGTTTTGTTTTTGTTTTTGTTTTTGCCATAGGGCACATGCGCTTGCTTGAGAAAGAGAGGCAGAGACTGTCAGAGGGAAAGTGAGAAATGACCCCTCAGGGGGAGGACGGCCATGCTGCAATCTATTTTCTTCCATTCTTCTCGCGGGACCTTGGGCACACGTGCACATGCACCTGGCATGATTTTTAAGCCACCAGGTCTGGGACTCAAACCAGTTGGTCTTGTGGAAGTCCAGTGACATAATCATTCTGCCACCTGCTGGTCCCCTTGTTTTTTATGAACTTTTAAAAGTATCCTTATGTATATGTGAAAATAGGTACATATGTGTAAATATTTATATATTTATCACTGAAGGGGAAAAACCTTCATTAAGTAGATGGCACCTAAATTGACTAGGATTCATGAAAGCAGATAATCCTTAGGGTCTTTTCAAACTAAAACTGATGTATGGACATCAGAAAAAAAGTCAGTTATTGTAACTTAGCATAGTTGATGAGTTGCTCTGAAAGAACTGGAAAATATATTTCTCTTTTAAAAATCAAATTAAAATATAATCTCTACAAATATGTAAAAAAATTAAACCTTGTTTTTATTTGGAAAAAATAAGCAGTAGTAAAATAGGGAAAATTGCTTATGTCCCTCTTTAATAAAAATCTACCTTCTAAGAGGCAAGAAATGTGTGGTGAGAGGATGAAAGTCCTCTCTCCAAAAAACAAAGAACTGGCTATCAGTTTACTACCAAATATGCCCTCAGAGAATTTTTAACTATATTTCAATGAAGCTCCTTTGTCTAATGATTGTATTTTCTTAACTCTTGAATATTATTTTTGAATAAACTTATCAAGAATGTGGACTTTTCTACATATACAACTTTTAAAATTAAAAAAAGAGTTAAGAATCGTAATTAAAAATAAATTTTGGGGAACCAGCAGTTAGTGTAATGGCTATGTTGCTGGACTCCCACGTAGTCAACTGCAGTTCGCGTCCCGGACCCGGTGGCTTAAAACTCATGCCGGGCGCGTGTGCGTGTGTGCCCAAGATCCCGAGAGGAGAATGGAGGAGAAGGGATTGCGGCGTGACCATCCCCCCTGGGGGGTGATTTCTCGCTTTCTGTCTCTATGTCTCTCTCTGTCTGTCTGGCGAGCGCACATGCCCTATAGCGAAAACCTCTCCAAAAAAAATATAAAAATAAATTTTTAAAAATACAAGAAAAGGAGCTATATAATGACTATTCCTTAAATGAAGGGATTCCAAGAGAATACAGGTGAGAAAATATCAGAATAACAATCATGTTATTAGGTAACTTTTTAAATATAGTTTTTCCTTTCTTTCTTTCTTTCTTTCTTTTATAAGAGAGATTTTTGCTATAGAGCATGTGCACTTGCCAGAAAGAGAGCTAGAAAGTGAGAAATCACCCCCCAGGGGAGATGGCCATGATGAAATTCCTTCTCCTCCATTCTCCTCTCGGGATCTTGGGCATGCATGCACACGTGCCCGGCGTGAGTTTAAGCCACTGGGTTTGGGACTTGAACTGTGGTCGACTACGTGGGAGCGGGAGTCCAGCATCTTGACCACGACACCACCTGCTGGTGCCTAAATGTAGTTTTTCCTTTTTTTATTCTTTTTTTTTTAATTTAAATTTATTTACATTCATTCACTATACATCATTACAGCATACAAAATGAGATTTCCCATCCAGAATACACTGTATTGGCTCAGTCAAACACATCAACATACGTATTATTGTCAACAAATAATTTTTCACTTGTTTCCTGTATATTTTGCTTTTTTTCCCCATCCTTGATTCCCTCTCTCTCACCCTCTGCCGTGCCCCACCCTCCCACACTGTCTCTGGTATACATGGTTGCTTTCTATGCCTTTTCCCCCCATCTTATTGCTTCACTAAAGAACTCAATTAATCTAAACATTTCCAATAGCAAGCACAGCTGATATATACATATCCATGAACACAAGTTTGACTTTAGGCATAATTCTCAGTCAGTAGAATGAACATACTATAAAGTAGCACCTAGCTGGGGCTATATAGCTTACTGCAGTCATCACATATGCATTTTTTTTTAAATTTCAAGAAAAACAGTTTTCGTGGGTTTTTTTTTTCCCCCCTGAAGCTTTTTTTTTTAATTAATTCATTTACATTCATCCCCTAAGCATAATCACAGCATACAAAAAGTTTTTCAATGCAGACATGTCTGGTGCATTTCCTTACACACCAAATTCTATTTTTAAAACAATAAAACCAAACCAATATTTTAGCAAAAATAGTATAAGTTCATTTTCAGTAGACTAATATAACTCTTCTCTGATATTATCACAGGCCCTACAGTTTGAACTTAGGGAACTCCAATTGCTCATTTAATGTATTTTAGGGAAAAATATCAAGAAATAAAATCAACAGCCTCCCAAAAAGTTCTCCAGGGCTCTCTGCGGCTTTACCAGTGGAAGGCTAACATTGGTCTATATGTATTATGTTCCTGGTGACTCGTGGCATGCTATCCGTATTGTTTGTTAACTGTCATAAGCCTTCAATATTGATTATATTTTTGATTTGAAGTAATACCTCTTGTTAGCTTTTATGAATATACTATTTTTATAACTTATTTTGTTTTGCTCTCATGTGATTCCTAACACAACTATTGTAATTATGTGTCTCTCTTTTGGTTTCTTGACTGGAATTTCTTCTACTTGGATGACCACAGGTGACCCTAGTATCTTCTGTAGTCTGCCCTTGGGCTTTTTTATAGTGAGTAGCATGGTAATGTTAATCGGAGCAAGGTACATCTCAGGTTAGTTACTCTTTCAATTAGACATTTTACTAGTTAGCATGAATGTATTTGTGTATAACTCAGCGGAAAGTTGTCAGTGTTTTTCATTCTTCCTATGTTTAAGAACCTGGAAATCAATGAATTAATTGATTAATTAATCTTTTGGGGCATATCGAATAAAAATTGTGACTCTGCTTAACCTTTTATAGTGTTAGCAGGTAATGATTTCTCTGAGGGGCTACATTTTGCCGTCAACTATAGCAATAAGCCAAAGTGACAGTTCTAATGTTATTGATGAAACAAAAGGACTTCTCAGAGTGCCAGATGAAAGTGAAAGTTTAATTTTGACACGCGTTAAATTGGCTTTCAAATGTATGTAGTGTTTTGGACTCCTGAAAGCAAGTCTTAATACGTTAATTCTGGCAAGAATTTTGGCCAGGGCATGCTAGCAGAGTTTCTGGAAAACTCTAAAACTGGGGGAGATGTCTAGCCATTTTAATTTTAGTTGAAAGAATATATTTTGTAAACTGAAGTTCTAAAAATTATTGCGTAAATAAAATGGAGTTGAAATGAAAGTCGAATTATTTTTGCACATTAACTTCTACTAAATATCCTTATATAAGTAAAATGGCTCAGCAAGTTATAAAATACATTGCATAATCTGTTAATTTAAATGTAATAGCCATTTGGGAAGCTTCTCCTGATGATAGCTCAATTTTTCTTCAGAGCACTGGCTGAAATAGAAATAGCTTGTTTTTTGTTCCATATGTTGCCATGAAATGAAATTTTATTTTTAAGAAAATCTTCATGATTGAAGAGACTTGAATTATTGCTCTTAATTAATAAGATGATGAGCTGGGTCTAAAGTATAAAATTTAAATTTTATTGATGTGGGGGGAACACCTATTTGTAGAAACCCGACAAGCATTTATTCAACGTGGCATTATCAATAGTATCAATATGTAGACAAGAAATGAAAACTATTTACATCAACAGACCATTAGATTAACTTTAAATTAATGAGAAAAGTTGGGTTATTTACATGAGAATGTAAAACTAGATTAGATTGCCTTTTCTTATATTCTTCATATTTAAACATATGCAAAATAACTTTGTTCAAATTGTCTGCTTTTTGTACTGACAGTCCCTTATTTTGGTATTAATGCTTTATCCCTCACAATGAGCTTCTGTAGGCATAAATCTGGAAAGAATTACCACGTATCTGTCCTCTTTCTGCTTTAGAGGAATGTTTGGTGGGAAATTAAACATTCCCATGAGAACTGTAATTTACATTGATAAAGAAAGTTCCCCCAAATTTAGGAAAAGTTCTATTACTTTTCATTATCCTGAATGTTTTCGACTTCATAATGATGGTCTGGAAAAGGATAGAAATGACACGGCAACTGAAAGTTCTCATTCATTTTCTGTTTTCCCTGTGTCCCCGTTGATACCACGGCAGCCTGAAAAGATCTGCTCTGTGTGGAAATTGAGAGGCACAGCATCTCTCTAAGCCGGAGGATGGATACACATCAAGTGTCTGAATTCTAAGGCTTCTAATTGCATATGGTCCTCCCCATCAGCTTCTCTCTTTAAATAACTGAAATTTGAGAACAGTGGCAATTATTTGTCTTGGTAAACAGTTAGCCACAGTTGCCGTATTTGCTAATTTGGGGATTGGCCCGGTTCTGTATGCCACATTTTAACTGAGAGCATTATTTAGAAATCATGTGGAATTTCTAGCTCAATAAATGCTTGCATAGTCTTCATTGCTTTAACTCCTGAATTGCATCTATGTATTATTGACATGTGTGGTTTTTGTCCCCCATTTTAGGTATTCCATAAAGCATACCAACTCGTCGATTCCCAAGATGCGAGCTTTTTACATAATGAGAGAATCCTGTGATTCTGTCTTTTAATGTGATGACACTATTCGTAGACTCTGATTTTATTAATTAGCCACTTGCTGCATGACCCTCCAAGTAGATCTGCGGCTTGAAATAAAGAAACTGCAGCAGAAAGAATGCTATAGAAACATTTGGTCTATTTTTTAAACATTGACAGTTAAGATTGGGCTGGCTGGCTACTTTTGGGGCTGACCCACCCCATGGCCAGGACATCCTGCCCTATTTCCTCTAAGGTCTAGAAGGAATTCAGATCCCGTTGGAATTTTTTCCTCAAACTTCTTCAAACGCTAATGGACCAGGATTTCATTCTTTGCACTACATACACTTGATGAAGGAGTGATTACTAACCTGCTAAGAATGAGCAACTTTTTGTTTATTTGTTACAGACCCCCCCAAAAGTCTTCTTTTCTACACATTGGAAGACCCTATCTTTACTGATTGTTTAAACAGAAACCCCTACTCAATTTTTAAAATAGAAATTTGGTATTCTCGTAGTTTGGAGGTTTTTCTGAAAAATATTTGCCAAAACTGAAATTCTGAAGACATTTTACTTGGGTCTCAATAATTATGACTTTCTGCCTGGATCTTATAGGGAAGGACACTTTTTTTTTTTTCTCATCTCTCCTTTTTATATTTTTTACTTTGGATGTATAACATACATACCTATATATTTTATATACCGAGGGTAGCCCATTTATAAATTAAGAGCACATTGTATTCGGTAGATTATAACAGGGCTGGTCTTAAGTGGACTACTATGTATATAAATATTTTTAGGGAAACAGCTGTATACATTTTTGGGCAACGGTTATGCATATTATTTACTAGGAGAAATTTTTTCTTAAAGAGCCAAACACTTAAACTTTAAATATATGTTCTATGTCAATAAAAGAAAATGTACTTTATTGTGATTTCAACTACATTTCTTATACCTTACCTTTTTATTTGTCTTAGCTGGATATATGTTTTCAAAAAGAATGAAAAAACTGTGGAGTACTACAGTAAATGTTGTTTTCAAACACAAGCAAATGTCCAAATAAAGTCATTTTTCCTTTGAATTAAGTTTAGACATATTTGGGGCCTTTTTGAGGAGATGAGAGAATGTCAAAAAAAAAAAAAACAACAACAACCTAAGAAGAAAACAAATTTAGAAATAAAGCTCAAAATCTCCTTCAATCCAATTTCTATCTTGTATGACGGTGAATTTTCTCTATTTAATGTCATATTATAATTGAAAAAAAAATGTTTACCATTAGAAAAGCCTTTCAATGAAACCAAGAATATCAAAATATTTCTTATTACATGTTGTAAGAACTCAATCAATGCTGAATGGGAAAATCTTTATATGTTAATATAAAAGATTTTGTTTTGTTTGAATTAATGGGAGCTTGTATTTCCTGTTCTGATTGTGCTATTTCTGAATTATTGGATATGCTGGATATTTGTAATAAAGTTCCCACACCAGTATAACAGGGCTGGTCTTAAGTGGACTACTATGTATATAAATATTTTTAGGGAAACAGCTGTATACATTTTTGGGCAACGGTTATGCATATTATTTACTAGGAGAAATTTTTTCTTAAAGAGCCAAACACTTAAACTTTAAATATATGTTCTATGTCAATAAAAGAAAATGTACTTTATTGTGATTTCAACTACATTTCTTATACCTTACCTTTTTATTTGTCTTAGCTGGATATATGTTTTCAAAAAGAATGAAAAAACTGTGGAGTATTAAAGTAAATGTTGTTTTCAAACACAAGCAAATGTCCAAATAAAGTCATTTTTCCTTTGAATTAAGTTTAGACATATTTGGGGCCTTTTTGAGGAGATGAGAGAATGTCAAAAAAAAAAAAAACAACAACAACCTAAGAAGACAACAAATTTAGAAATAAAGCTCAAAATCTCCTTCAATCCAATTTCTATCTTGTATGACGGTGAATTTTCTCTATTTAATGTCATATTATAATTGAAAAAAAAATGTTTACCATTAGAAAAGCCTTTCAATGAAACCAAGAATATCAAAATATTTCTTATTACATGTTGTAAGAACTCAATCAATGCTGAATGGGAAAATCTTTATATGTTAATATAAAAGATTTTGTTTTGTTTGAATTAATGGGAGCTTGTATTTCCTGTTCTGATTGTGCTATTTCTGAATTATTGGATATGCTGGATATTTGTAATAAAGTTCCCACACCAGTGACATAAATGCTTATAGAAAGGTACTGTGAAATTAACACTTTGTGGCAGGGATACTTTTAAACATAATTATGTTTCTACAAAAGTAGGTTGAGTTAATTGTAAATAATTGTAAAAAAAAATCACTGTTCAAATACTTTTAAGATTACCTTAATTTTTCTATAAATTGCGAGATTTATAAATGTTTGAACTTGTACACATTGATATTTAATGATAAAGTTACTTAAAATAAATTGACCCCTCATTCTTACTTGCATTTCTCATTTATAGACTAGAACTTATGTCAGAGTTAAGAAAGATGTTTCAGGAGATGTGAAGCTCGGCTGTTAGCCCCTCATCAAGTCAACAATCAATGAATAGCTGAAGAAGTAGTCTGGAATGATGAAACACCTAAATCACTATGTTAAAGCTGACTACAGTGTCCAAATCTTGGTGAGGTCAATAGCCATTATCAATAGGGTCTCCTGTGGGTAACCTTCTACTGGTTTCATTTTATGCTTCCTTCAGTTTCTCTTTCTTTGGGTTAGGTGATGGGATCTAGTGCACCATTTTTCAGTATCTCCACTGGATGGCCAACAACTCGATCTTTTGTTCTCAAACAAATTAATATCTTAGAATCCTTTAGTGTTTCTTTTGAAATGCCCAAAGCCCAAGTCTTTGAGGCATTTATGGGTATTTTATATCAAATCATGTGACAATACAGAATGATATCCATTTTGGAGAAGCCATCAAATGAAAGTATCGTAGCATAGAAACTAATGGCATGGAGAGTGGATTGGGTAGTATTTACCCTGCAGTGTTTACCTAATAGTAATTAGAAGTACATTTATTTTTTAACTAAAACTTTTTAATAGCTCATTTTAATTAATACACAATATTTAAGTAATGAAGTTTACCTGATCTTTTATTCTTATATCTTAACAACTTTCAAAATATGTTCACCTAATAAACAGCTAGCAGGAAAGTGAGTGACTTTCTAAAGCAATTTGATTTCATCTATACTTAATAGGTATATATTTTAGTTCTGGCCTTCTAATTAAATAGAAAGATGTGCCAAATATCCCAGACAAAAAAAAACTCTCACAATTTCCTGAGATTTTCCTGGCATCAGATTTAATAAAAACGACCCATCTAATTAATTTTGAGGACTATAAAGATAAATATTCTGAGAAACAGAAGATAAGCTAAAAGAAGTTTCACAACCAGTTCCTCAACCAGTACCTTTAATTGCCAGTTTTCAAGCCTGCCTGTCGCCTGGTGGTTAAAGCAGAGCAGGCTCACATGGCCAATTGCATGGTTTGAGTCTCAGGCCCAATAGCTTGAAACAAAACAAAACAAAACAAAACAAAACTGGGCAAGTGTGCATTAATGCCCAAAATCCTGATTGGAGGGAGTGGTGGACAAGAAGGTATTACAGTGTGACCATTTCCCATAGGGGAGGTGATGTTTTCTCACTTTCTGTCTCTCTGCTGAGTACATTTACTATAATTGCCAGTTTTCATTCTTCTTTTTAGCCCATTTCACATATCTAGTTCTACCTGACAGCATCCTAGTTGGGAGGATGATCGTATTTTAATCTTAAAAGGCAGTCTCAGGCCTTTGTTGATTTTTTTTTGTTGTTTAGTATTAAATAGCTTCTTTTCTTCCTCATTATGCCCGATGGTATTTATCTCACTAGTTGTTTATTATTATATGACTAGTTTACAAGTATTATATATATCAAATTATTTTTAAGTCACCACCAAAACATCCACAAGAGGGAGACCAGGTAAAGAAACTGTGGTATAGCCAGACAATAGCCAATGTGTAGCTTTAGAAAAGAACAAGGACACTATGTAGAAATACATGGAAATACACTCAGAAGTGAAAAGCAAAGTGCAGAGTACATAGAAATGTGCTACCTTTCTATTAAAAGGGGAGGGGGGCATCAGATGGCATAGTGGTTAAGGTGCTGGACTTCCACATGGTTGACCGCAGTTTGAGTCCCTAACTCAGAGACTTGAAATTCAAGGCAGGTACATGTGTGCTGTGTGCCCACAATCCCAAGAGGAGAATGGAGGAGAAGGGATTGCAGCATGGCCATCCCCCTGGGGAGTGATTTCTCTCTTTCTGTCTCTCTGGCAAGTGCACATGCCCTATAGCAAAAATCTCTCTCAAAAAAAAAAAATAGAAAGAAAGAAGAGAGTGGGACCAGCAGGTGGCACAGTGGTTAAGGTGCTGGACTTCCACATGACTGACTGCAATTTGAGTCCCAGACCTGCTTTCTCACTTTCTCTCTCTCTGGTGAATATACATGCCCTATAGTAAACTTGAAAATAATAATAATAAATAAAATATTTTTTAAAAGAGAAAGAAAAAAATGGGCTTAAATGTTTGCCTACACTGGAAGGAAAAGTAAGAAGCTGTTAATAGTGCTTACCCACTAGGAAAGAAAGGGGTGATAATTAGGCATCTTTGACAAGGGAGGGAAACAGCTTTTCACGATACATCTACATTTGACCCATCTTAATTGTTGGTATGTATCATATTGATCACGTTAATGTATTAACTATTTATAAAACTAATTAAAAGTTTTTGAACTGAAATTCAGTGGTCATTGTACATAAATATTCACAGCAGCATGATTCATAGTAGCCAAAAAAAAAAAAAAAAACCCAAATGTCTATCAGTTTTGGTAAGTGGCTAAAGAAAAGTTGTATGCCTGTACAATGGAATATTATTCAGTCACAAAAATGGATACATTATGGATAAATGCCACAAGGTGGATGAGCCTGGAAAATATTATGCAAGGGGAAAGAAGCCAGACACAAAAGGCCATCCACTATATGATTTCACTTATATGAAATATCCAGAATAGACGAATAGAGATAGAAAATAGATGAGATCGCCAGAGCCTGAGGAAAGGGGGAATGGAAAGTGACTATCAATGAATATGGGATTTCTTTGGGGGTGATGAGAATGTTCTGAAAGTAGATATGATGTTTGCACAACCTTGTGAATATACTAAAAACTGCCAACTTGGACAATTCAATGGGTTGTATTTTATGATATGTGAATAAAGTCAATAAAAATGTAATAAAAAATGTCAGAGGTCATGAATAAGTGATACTCAGGGCAAATTATGCCCACAGGCTTGTTTAAAACCAGCAAATTATTTCTCATTTTCTTTTATGTAAAATAAACAAACATGCCTCTTTCTGACCCCACTTGAGTTGGGGATCCCTAAAATGAGTCCTTTGCGGGGAAAAAATGGATTTTATTGACTCTTTGAAGTGTAGAGATGAATAAATTTAACTCCTGGGCTAGGCAGTGGTATCTTAGTTTAGGCAGCTAAATCCCATGTGGCCAACTGTATGGCTCGAGTTCCAGGCCTGGTGATTTGAGAACATGCCAGGGGCATGTCCTGAGAGGAGAATGGAGGGGAAAGGATTGCAGCGTGGCCATCCTCCGTGGGTAGTGCTTCTCATTTCTCCTCTCTCTGTCTCACTCCAGTGAGCACAAGCACCCTCCTTTTTGTACCACTTTTACTACCTTTTGTTTTCCCCAAGCATTTAACAATGGAAATACGAAAAATGCCCTAGTCACTGTATATAAGTGATTATGAAAAAACAGAAGTTCTGCCCTTCCATTCACCTACCTGGAGGTTTTCATGGTCTATCCAGTAGAAGGTACTAATAGTAAAGGATGCATTAACTGGTCCTCCTGCCCCCAGGACTTGATAGATGAGGTGGCAGGCTTCTGAAAATACTAACCATATTATCATATCATCAGTCACTCAACTTCCCTACGTAGACCTTTCAACTGTGCTATTTCTTTCTCGCTCTCTTTTTTTTTTTAAGGAATCATTTTATTTAACTTTATTTATTTATTTATCTTAATTTGACCAGAGAGGGACAGAGTGAGTGTGAGAACAAGAGA